CTTCCGCTGCTGCTACGGCTGCTGCTGTTGTTTAATAATAAACGATATTGGGGCTGTGCTGCAACGTTGGCTGCTCGCCGTCGCCTCGCACTCAGCACTTTGAACTCTTTTGCGACGGAAATCGGGTAAAGTGCGGTTCCGTTCTAACGCTGGCCCGTCTGCATCTTGTGCACTTCGAGATCGCGATGTGTTACACTGTTTTTTGCTGACCGTAACCGTTGCAAAAGTGTTTTCTTTTCACATTAATAAACGCGACACAAAAGACGAACAGCGGAAAGAAGCAGACAAAAACGTGTGGCCAGAGCGCGACTATGCTGCCTAGTCCTGTAACGTAAAGAAATACTAAAAAGTTTAATGGCGCTGCCAGATTGCCTTAAACATTTCAAATTAGAGATCCCGCCATGAAAAAACCCGTACGGAAAATTCAAATACCGCAGTTCAGAAGAGCAGATAAAGTTCTTCAATATTTTGGGATGTATTTCATACCACCTCTGAACGGAAATATTAAATATAGAAATAAAAAGAATATTATATGTCTAAGTATCAAAATCAAGAATATATATTATATGTATTCGTCCTACTACATCGTGGAGTGCTATTTTAGATGCATCCCGCAGTACTCTTTACAAAATCCTACAATCGCAGCACATAAGCGAGTAATGCAGACATTTGACAACCATGTCATCGTCGTCATCGTCCTCCTTGGGATAATTCCTTTTCCCTTGTCATTGCTATTAAATTCGTACATTTGACCGTCAAGCTGATCTGCCATAGGTTGCAGGCAGCTATCGAGGCCCTTCTTCGACGTTTTCTTTAGATTATTGTGCATCATTTCGTTGCGGTTGCGCTGCTTACCATCTCGTCAATCCAATCAAAATCGGTGGCGTTTCCCTGAAAGCTCGGCAAACTGGAAATGCTTTCAATGGAGTTGATATCCTCCTGTTTCAGGCTCAAATTAATTAATTTATTTTATATTATATTATGATGATTACCTGATTGTTATTATTGTTCCTATATTTAATCATAGGCGGCGTTCTTTGCTGAGAACGGGCAGGGTCCTGGGCTACTTGTGCCATCGTGGCTCTGGTTCCCGCGGAGCCATTTGCAAGAACTCCGTCCCTCCAGTTGCTGTTGTCAAGTCTTCGGGACCCATAATGTTGGTCTGCAACAGGACACACTTTAAATTAATGACCTATTTAGTGTGATTCTGACTACACAGCTTACAAAGTCCTGTACCTCGGCGGTAGTAATGACAGTCTTAGCTTTGGTTGATGGAGTCGTCGGTGCAGTCTCCGATACAGAGTACGTGGGTCTCAGGTTTGGTGAGCAAGTGGTTAAGAGAGTACAGTGTACAGTGGCGGTCTCAGAAACGATGGCCGATAGACCTTCAATGGACGAAACAGACTCGCTTTTGCGGCTTTGTGTAGCCAGTGAGCAGTTGGCCAAAAGACTCAGAGATGGGGGTGCATTGACATTACCTTCTCCTGCCAAATTGTTTAAGGGCTGAAATAAAGCAACTATATATTATAGTCTTGAATTGGGAAGAGAACGTGCGCAATAATCAACGATCTTCCGCAAGCACCCTACTTACAAGTCAGTAAGCTCGAACTGTGGCTCGCTTTTCTTTTGCGGTTCTGAGTTGGAGAATTGTTTATTGCTAGTGTGGTCCTTTGAATGCGATTTTCGTCCCGGTAACCACAATATGCTCAAACGAGAGGATTCGCTTTTCTTTGTCGATTTGGAAGCCATCTAAAAATTGTTAACCTTTTTTAAATTTGACTTTAAAATGGCACACAATATATAAATGCATAAAATGTGAGTGACAGCAGTTGAATTGGTAGCTTGGTTTGTATTTGTATTTTTTACTGTGAGACCTCAAAATAAATAAACAAATTTAAGCTCGGGCGCCTTCAGTGCGTTGCTCTGAATATACTAAAATTATGCCAACACAAATCTCCTAACGCCAAACTTTCTAGTATTTTTGACTTCACGTCTCCTCACTGTTTTGAATGTTTTGTTCCCTGTTTAAAAATGTCTTTGTTTACAAATATTAAACGTTAGCTAATAACAAATAACGAAGAGCTCATAGCTACCAAAAAGCCAGTTAAGGATGTTCCTGGTAAGTTTCACCTAAGAAGAAAATGCCATAAACTAATAGTACTCTGCATCTCACCAGTTCATCAGCCGGCCCACCCGCACCCTGGGCAACCGAATGGGGAGGTACGAGAGCGCCTGGGAGACGACTTCACAGCAAAACTGGATGAACTGCACCGAAATAGCTTGCGCACTGGGCTGGTGTCCAAGCAGGAGCTGGAGGAGGCGTTCCGCAAGACGCGCGATGTCGACCATAATCCGAATCGATTGAATCTACTCTGGCTGGTGGGCATCATCTTCTTCATTTTGGTGGCCACGCCAGTCTTTTACGAGACCATCTCTTTCTTGCTCGGTGTGCGCTGCTTCTTGCCCAACAACTACCTGGTGTGGGAGGCCACTCGACCGATCAGTGACTGTGAGTTTTGCAAAGGCGTACGGGCGCCCCTGATCTTGGCCAATCTCACCAGGGACGAGTTTACCCCGCATGCCTACTCCTCGCTGCCGATCATCGTCAAGAGAGCCGTGGCCCATTGGCCTGCTCAGAAGTATCTCAACTATGCCTACATACGGGAGCTGTATGAGAGTGTGCCGGGCGCCATGGAAACAGGCTGCCAATTCCTGCACTTCAACTCGGACTTCAAGTCGCTGAGAGATGTGTTTGCAATGTCCCCGGAAAGTCAAATTTAAGTCAAGGAGCTCCCTGGTTTGTGGGCTGGAGTGTCTGCCAGCCGGCAGTGCTGGCGGAGCTCAGGAAGCTGTATCCTCGTCCCCATTTCTTGCCCATGGATGCCGAGATGCCGCACACGGACTTCATTTTGATGGGCTACGAACAGGGAGCTGTGATGCACGTAAGCTGAGGTGAAACATTAGTTTTGTTTAAACCTAATCTCTGGTTTTCCCACACTAGCTGACTACATACCCCGACTGATGTCAGGCGCAGCTGAAGGGCAACAAGAGCTGGTTCCTTGCGCCGGCTCCCGAGTGCGATCATCAGTGCCAGCCCTTCTCCTTCTACGTGGACCGGGCGACGCTGTCCTGGTGGACACACGCCTCTGGTATCATGCCATACCATTCCCAAAGGTCAGTTCTCGCTGACCGTTCAGTCTGAGTACGGCTGAGTGCTTGTGAAATAATCTTGTGTAATCGTGTACATATTTAGTACACTTGGAAAACAAATATTGCTGTTTAATTAAATGATAAAATAATTTATTTTAATCCTCATCTTAAAAATACCAAGATATAAAAATACCGAGCATTGATAAAAATAGTGTTTGAAAATGCAATCATACTTTCCAGTACTGTCTGGCGCTTTCGCATTCAAAAGAAAACAAGAAACGAAAAGAATTACAAAAATGGAAACTGAAGTGGACTTTGGCACCATAGCCTCAAAGATATACCGGAACTACGGGCAGCACTTGAAGAACCTTAAGGATTGCTGCGTGTCCAAGACGGTGATGAAGCCGCCGGCGTACTTTGAGAACCTGCAGCTGATGCTGGACGAAGAAACGGCTGCCATGACGCCGCCCAACGACCTCGGATCGGTTGCGGAGTACGCTGAGCTCTTTAAGACCCTCGAGGAGTATCCGACCAATCTCCAGAAGATGCCTAAGAAGCGGGGAGAGTTGCAGCGGGCCAACTCCACCCTCTTGCGCGGTACAGAAGCTACGACTGCGACTCAGGCGGACCACTCAACGGCCATCAACACGTCTAACATTTCGCTGAGTATGACGCGGCTGGAGGAGCAGCCCAGTGCCGTTGAGGTGTACAAGGATTCAGGCCTTCCAGCGCAAGCTGGAAAAGATCTACGAAGAGACCCGCCGCCCTGGACACCACGGAATCCATTTACAAGCAAAAGCTGGTACAGCTGAATGGATTTGCCCAGCAGCTGGAAAAGCTTATGCCAACAGGTGGAGATGCTCCGCCTGACGCCTTCTCAGCCGATCAGCAGGAGAAGTTACTGGCCCTGGCCGCAAATATGGAGCAACTGAACTATCTGCGCTCCAATAACCTGCCGCTGCTGCATCCAGCGAGATAATGGCCAACGGCAGTGTGGCGGCGCGTCTCGAAATGTTCGTGGAGGTGCTTACCTATGCCCTAATGCAAATCAGTAGCTACAACATGGCTTTGATTTGATTTAATATTATTAAAATAGAGAAGTGTGAGAATAGAGCCAATAAGAATGGCATTTACTTCCCCTTTCTTTGCTTTACATACAATTGTTAACCTATGATACATCACGGCGATACGTCGCCAAACTCCTGTGCCTCCTGCTCCGCCTGGAAGCTTCTCATCTGGTTGACAGTGTCGCATAGAGCCACCAGCTTACGCACCGAACTGCCCAGATGTTCTACGCGGTGTCTGTAGGCCAGGCAACCGTCCAAGGCGCTACCGGTGTCTTCTCGCTGATCGCTGCTCTGCATCAGCTGGCGAAAGTTCTGCAGGATACGGACCACAGCCAGTTCGCACTCTGGCTTGAGATTGTACACCTTTTGAGACTCCTGCGCCGATGCGTTCTGCGCCAAGGCCTTGTTGTTGGACTCGATGTGGAGCAGGGTGTTGTTCGACCGCTCCATTATCTCGTCTATCTTGCTGATCTGCTTAGCCAACGACCGTCGACGGGCGGCTGTAGTGTGGTTCAGGTGCATTAGATCCTGGAACTGGATTGGCTAATTATATTTACCTAATCCCGCCAACATTTGATCGGCAGCGTCGGGCATTTCGATTTTTGTTTGTTTATATGAGAAACAATGTGGCCAAAGTCTGGAAGGTTGATATATACCAAGAACTGTCGGAAATGTTAATTTTATCGAAATTCAACTGAAAGTAACGGTTAAGCAAATGATTAATATTTTTAAATAAGCCCTTCTTAGTTTGCCATCCAACTTCCCGCAACTAGCAAAGCATAATTGGAGTCTTTTGGTTTATTATTGTTCAAATTGTATTTGTTTTCTATTTAAGTTTAAGTGTAATCCTTTTCATGGTGTTTGCATTACAGTTACAATTTACTCATACACATCCTCCTTGTCGGCGACGTACTTAATAATGTCGGCAGGTTTCAGCAGCTTCTCGGCATCGGAGTCGGGGATCTCAAATCCAAACTCATCCTCCATGGCCATGATGACCTCCACGTGGTCCAAAGAGTCCAGGCCCAAGTCGTTGATGAAGTGCGACTCAACGTTGAGCTGTAATTGAAAGGTATTAGCACGGGTTGCAATATAGCTGGGACTAGGATATGCTTTGTTCAGTTCTTTGTGGCGGTAACCATTGCACTGGCAAAGGCAATCAATATGTTTTGGCGTTTTTTTTTTACCTTGCAGGGATCGATCTTGTCGTACAGCTTGAGGACAAGCAAGACTCGCTCGTTGATGAGCTTCAGTGAGAGCGGCGGTTTCGCCGAGTACCTGCGCACCGATTGCGTTTGCCAGCCATTGCGTCCGCACTCCTGGTTGGTTTTGGTTTTGGCCAAAAGAAAAGAACGAAACACAAGCCAAGAGTTAGTGACGCCTTGAAGTGGATAGTTTTACCTTGTCGGCGGTGACTTTGTCGTAGGCGGAGACAACCTTCAGCACACGGAACTTGATGTCCTCGATGGTGCTTTTGGCCGAGTAGCTTCGCACACCGAATTTCTGTGAATTACATGGGTTAGTTTACGGTCTAGAGGTAATGCAACTTATGGTTCATTCATATTTTTAAAGAATTCATTTGAATAAGAATAATATCTTTGCAGTGTGTAATACTTTAAGTCATATGCTCATATCACTACGAAGGAGTCATTTCCGACCCTATAGGTCTATATTCTTGATCAGCATCCACAGCCGAGTCGATCTAGCCATACCCGGCAAAATATAAATTTTTTCAAAATTGTCAAATTTGGAAAAAAAAATCTAATTTTTTAACATTCGAATTGAGTATGCAGATAAGAAGATAAGACCGCTTTCCGAATTGAAATTAATGGATTTTTGGCTTAGTTATGAGATTTTTTTAAACTTGGATTTGACGAAAATACTGTCAGGTTCTTAACAGTCTTGAAGCTCTCTATAGAGATTTCATATCACGTTTAGTTAATTTGCACTGTAGTATTATCAATCACACACACATGCAAGCACCGGCCTTGTTTGTATTAGTGCGTTGACGAGGGGAAACAATCATGTTTTATGCTAAACAATATGATGCAATCACTTTGGGCCGTGTTGGCCACATGTTCCTATGCCTCTGCAGCCTAAGTTTCTTAGAAGCCATCCTGATATCTTCTTTGGAGCTATGCAACTCCCGAAACCTCTCCACTTGCAATGAGGTTAGGTAGGCAATCTGGAGTGGTCTACACACACGTATAGGGCCTGGAAAAAGGTACTCCTCCTACTTCTAAGCACTCACTTGGCTCCACTGGCTGGCCATGGCCGGCACGGCAATCCTGTGCATCATCCTGGCCTGCTGGGGCTGTGCAAGGGCGGCGCTGGCGATCCTCTTGGGGGCCAAAGTCGCCGCCAGCCGACTGCAGCTGCGGGCAATCTGTGTGAAGGACATCTCGGGTTTCCTGCAAGGGAAATAGGTTAATCACGCGTCTCGCCGGTAAAGTGCACGGGTCAGGGCACAAATATTAATTTATTAATCAATTTATTAATGAAATTCTTACGATTTTCAGATTATGTAAAAGTTGTGTGGTTGAAATATTTATCGATTGCGATATATTTGTTAAGAAGATTTTTTGATATATTTTTTTCGGTCACTCTAATTCTGAATCTGTTGCTTAACATTTTACATCTTACAAGTCTAGAAACCATTCTACACGTTTACGGACACTTGGGCTCGAGTTCTCATACATTTGGTAAAATTCTCACGTATGTATTGGTATTTCTTTATATTTTGTTTCTGGTCACTCTGAATCCCAAAGCTGTTATTTACCAGTCTACACAACTAGATAACATTTTACTCGTTTACAGATACGTGTAGAATTCTTATGTAGAAATTATAATTCAGTAACAGAACTGCTATCATCCACAGAAACATTGTAAATTACAGCAATATCGGTAACACTGACCTCACCTGATTCCTCAGACGGATTATCGATAACAGTTCCTAGTAATCGAATAGGTGGTAAAATTTAAATATTTAAAATAGTAGGTATGAGAATTGGCCACGTTTTATATTCCTTAAAACACAATTACACAACCAATTTATTAGATATACAAAGTCTCATATATTTTCTCTTTATAAACAATATACATTTAGATGGAACATTAATCATATAAAATCCAAATTACATATTTCGCTTCCGCGGGAGTTAACAAAAATACATACAATAAGTACAGTATAAATACACGAATATAACAAAACAAACGTCGTTTGATTTAAAGCCACTTTTTGTTGTAGAAAGTCGTAGTAAATTCTCCTTCTTATTGTCCAGCAATCTAAGTTATACAAACAGAGTGAAACGAGAAATTAAAATTGAGGTCGTAGTGATAAGAGGGTTTTTCCCTCGGCTAAAGAATGAAGTCACTTACAACAACAAGGTGGTCCTTATCACGCACCACACCCGGCTCCGCGCCCGTTCGAATGTCGATGACTCCTCCTTTGCCCTTGACCACGTTGTGCTCCAGCCTGCAAAACGAGATAAAAAGTTCTGAGTACCGATTATTATTTAAAGCCTAGAGAATACTTACGAATTCCTGTCCACAATGGAGACAATCTGAGCAGTGCCCACGGTGTCGATGATGTAGGTACTAAACTCGATGATGCGTGGAATGATCAGGATAAGGTCGCCCTTGTCCTTTTTCAGCTCAAGCGGTATGCGGATGACCATGAGGTCGTCGTTGTGGTTCGTCAGCGTAAATCAATCTTCTCCAACGGCAGGCGGTGCTTCTGCTTATACGTCTTGCCGTCCAGGACATAGATGGCCTTGTTGCTCAGCAGGATAAAGCGATCACGAGACTTGTAGCCATGACGATCGAACTTGGTGCAGAAAGACTGGTACTTCAGTTGCTCGCTGCCAAAGGTGCTGGCCACAAAGTCGTTGACTCGCTGAATGTGATCCTTGGGGATGCGATCCTCTTGGAACCAGGTTGACACGCTCGACGCATAGTTGTTTTTCTTGTTTTTGAACACCTTTTCGGCGAGCACCTTCAGTTCAAACTGGCGCTTTCTGCTGCGGTGTCAGCTTGAGGCGGTAGATCCTGGCCAGGTGCAGGCGATGCAGGCGGTGAAGATACTCGGAGGCCTCCTGACAGTGGCCCGGTGCATGGGGCCAGCTCTTGTCAAGAACTTTTCTGGGCAACTCCTTCGCAAGCCGGAGTAGCCACATGCGCTTGGCATTGGCAATGAAGTCCTCATTGAAACCGTTGGGAGCTTCGTTCCGGGTAATGAATCCCTTGATGAAGGCCCTGATTTTGTCGGCCGCTTCCCTGCGCTGCTTAGCCGCTGCTGGGCCAACTTGCGACGACAGTAGCTCTGCAGGACGATAACCTGGGCGCGGAGCTTAAGGTACTTTCTTCTCTGAATCAGTCCCTTCCAATGGGCCTGGATTATGGCCGCGATATCGTGCTTCTTGGCCTGGTACGCATCCTCCGTGTCGAACAGCGTCCTCGGCCAGCGAATAAAGAGCTTTGTCTCGCCCACGCGGTACTTCTCATCATCCCAGCCCAAATCCTTGACCAGCTGCTGCACTCCCGCCTTAGGACCACCCGGACCTTGTAGTTCGGCCAGGTGGACTTGCTAAGTGACTTGTAGCGCTCCAGGAAGAGCTCATAGGTGCGACGATAGGCGAAGCCAGCTCTCCTTACCCGCAGGTTCTCCATGAGTCCCAAGTACTTAACCTGATGCAGCACCAACTGGTCGTTGAACACACCCGGCGTCTGTAGATCGTTGGGCTTGATGCAGCGAATGTAGCTTGGCTCCTTGCACATCAGGATGTCCATGAGGTTGTTCAACGAGGCGCGGAACTGGGTGATGGCTGTTTCCGGGCGTTTCAGGCTGCGCAGCTCCTGCTCTGGGAAGCAGCTCTTCACAATTCCATTACCTGCCTTGCTGAGGGTCTCCTTCAGATCCCTGAAAAGCAAGTCGTTGTTCTTGTCGAGAAAGCCATGGACGCTGTAGGTTACCTCGCCAGCGTAGTGAACCAACCGGAATTCATCACGGAGCATTATCTTCTGGATGTGGGTCGGCGCCTTTTCATGGCAAACGTAGTGATGGTGCTGGGCCAGCTTGTTCGTGAGCTTCTCCAGGAATGTAATGTCCGTGGGCTCGCCCGGCCGCAGGCACTCCTCGTCTAGAATCGAGATGATACCCTTGTGCTTCTCCTCGATTAAATTGCAGATCACTTTGTTATCGAAGTACTCCACCGGGATCCACTCGATGCCCTCGCGACGGTACTCGTCCTGCTCAGACTTCAGTGTCAGCTCGATAAATAGCTGCTGCAGCTTCTCGTTGCAGAAGTTAATGCAGAATTGCTCAAAGCTGTTCTTCTGGAGATCTCGAAGCCATAGATGTCCAGGATACCCATCACATTGGTCTTGGCGCCTCGAGTCTCCTTCGCCTGCAGCGAGATGTTTAGGCGCTGCACCAGCCACGAGAAGAGACGATCGTACACGGCCTTGGCCAGGGCATCCTGGCATAGATGGCCAGCTCTTGGTTCAGCGGTGAGGTCACCACATCACCACGAGCATCGATGGTGCGATGGGTCAGTGCCGCCTCCAGTTCGCCTGCATTTACGCCCAGAAGCCGAGCAGCGGTCACAACCAGATCACGGCTATTTACCTTGGCATTGCCCTCTACCTCGCTAAATGCCACATGCCCAAATGCAGGATACTGGCCACAATGCCGAAAATCTCGCGCTGCTCATCCTTGGTGAAATCTATTACACTGAGTGCCTGCTGCACCTGTCGGAAATTGTCAGCATCGTTGATGCTCGACACACTGCCCTTGAGCTGGAAAGAAAGTAATTAAGATGAAGGTTTATTAAGAATCCTCTAAAGAATCAAGCATAGAAGCTCACCCCATCGGTTAGGTAGCTATAGGTATCCAGAGCCCGCTCCAAACGTAGCTCCTGTAGCAGGGTCTCATCGGCACCGGCCAGGAGCTGGTAAAGATGTGGAAATTGCGCTCGCCGGCCATCTGGGCGACCACGCGAGACTTCTCCAGGAGGTAGTTCAGGATATTGCCACCAATTGGGGCACCCTTGAAGTCAAACTGGATGTCCATGTACTTGCCAAAGCGAGAGGAGTTGTCGTTGCGATTGGTCTTGGCATTGCCGAAGGCCTCCAGCACGGGATTGCTCTTCAGCAGCTTATCCTTGACGTCCTCCACGGTTGTTTGATTACCCGAGCAGGCGGCAATGAACTGCAGCACCTTCTTGGAGGCCTCGGTCTTGCCGGAACCACTCTCGCCGAGATGAGGACGCACTGGCCACGGTTCTCCTCGATCAGCGAACGGAAGGCATTGTCCGTCACCGCGAAACTGAAGGGCAATTAATGAATATTATTTATTCAGGAGGGAATGCAAGATAAGACACTTACACATGTGGAGGCATCTCGTAAAAGTGCTTGTTCTTGTACTCCTTGATGTGGGCATCGGAGTAAATAGACAGCTGCTTGTAGGGATTCACCGAGATAAGCACCTGACCAATATAGGTCTGCCAAGGGCGAAAGTTATGCAGGTATTAGATAGGCTAAGAAAATATAGTTGAAATATGTTCAACTTACATAGATCAAATTCTCCTGGAAACGTTTCTTCAAGTTCTCAATGAAGGCATCCTCGCTCTGGTAGTTCTCCAGCAACACAAAGTCCTGGACTCCAGCACGATCGCGTTCGTGCAATCCCGTCTCCATGTTGGGCAGACTTGTATAGCTTAAACGAAAGCATATTCAAAGATTTTATATAGAATGTACTTGATTTTGTTTTCCTGGTAAGATTCCGCTCTCTTCGATTTCCCTGTAATTTCCCCCACTTCCTGGGAAACTTCTCCTCCACCTCACCTCTCTAACTCAATAACCATTATCATTCACATACCTAATCTTACAACTAAGCAAAAAGGGTTGCCATGTTTTAACCTGCTGCGTTGATTAGAGGACAAGAAACCTCTTGAGAACACATATACCCATTCCATTTGATAAGATTTACGTAAAGTATAGGCTTGGGAATTTATAAAGAACAACGCGACGGAAATGAAAGCTTCAGTTCACAAATAACAACTGAAGTTTAAATTCAATGCAATGACTTCATGCAATGATACAATATCCAATATTGTTTTTATCACAAGCCAAACCAATCCAAATCTTTTGGTATTTATAGGAGTCTCGAAATAATTGTGGGCAGGTGCAATTCAACCTTATCAATGCCATATTTCATTAGTAGTCGAAGCAGAGGGGACTGACTTTATAGCTTCTACTGATATGGGACGGGGTAAATCCATAAAGAGCCCGATTACGCAATAGATTTTGAGCTTCCAAATCCCTCAAATAATACTATAAGCCATCTTAAGGAGTTATGTGGGTTTGCACTTCGATATGTTATCAATCTCTTGACTAGATCACATTTTCGTTGGAGCCTCTACCTTGTCATGGTTATTCGATTGAGTCCTTGTTCCACTGGGGCAACGATGATCTTCACTGGGAATCCCTCCTGATCTCTGAACGTTTCACACTATCTAATCTCTCTCTATCTATGGCAGAGATGTCAGAATTCGCACATATTCCGCCCGTTGACGGTTCTGATGGCAAACTAAC